CAACATTATGCAATCAATTTTAACCATTTTTTTCGTAGATTTTGAAAACAAAATCTTCAAATCTCAAAAATAGCTCTAGAGTAGTTTTTGAAATTTTCTACTCACAAAACTTCAAATTCTTTTCAAGTAAAATGTATGTCCAAACACAATTTCTACCTTTCAAAAATCATTTTTCATCTCTTCTTTAAAAACTTATTTTTTCAAGTTTCAACCATAACTATGTGCAAATGCTAACTTGGTTTCATCTAATATCACGCAATCAAAGTTTCAAACGACACCGTAAAGCAGTGAAGAAATTCGAGAATAATCATGCATCTCACCTCTAACACCGGCGTTATTAACCAAAGCATCAATTCGTCCAAAGGAGTCCCAAGCTTTCTGCACGGCGTCTTCAATGATCGGACCATTGGCGCTAACGTCAAGCTCTATTGCTACGGCTCGCACTTCCTGATTCAAACTTGACTCGTTCGAGTTTGAGCTGAATCCATTGATCTCATCGCAGAGAGATTTCAATCGATTAACACGGCGAGCAGCGGCGATGATTCTACAACCAGATCTGGACAAATCGAGGCAGAATTCTCGGCCGATTCCCGATGATGCGCCGGTGATCATCACCACTTTACCGGTGAGTTCTCGCCATGGCTCCAGCTGGCTAGCCACTTTAGCATGATTCTCCATTAATTTTTTTGGTTTGTTGTTACGGAAATACTAGTGAATAGTACCTTTGATATACAGAGAATGTAGGTTACAACTTACAGTCAATCAATATAGTCGGGCCTTTGGAGTTCTTTTATTCTTATTTAAAGATTTTTATTTGACTCATTGACTAGTAGTTACTATGTGAAAATGACATAGCTGATGTGACAAAAGTCAATGATATTTAACAGAATCTAGTGTAAATGAAAAGATACGGCGATAATACACAATATTATTTTTATGATATGTAGGTAAAATTGATTAACTTTTTAATCAGGATAATAGATAGTTACCTCATTGGGTTGTCCCACTTTACCAACTACAACGACCCCTTAACAACTTTGAACTTATATCATTACCCCTTTCGGGCCCACAAAACATGGAGAGTGTATATCATTTGCTTAAACAGAGTGAGGGGATTAAAAAGAAAATTTAAAATTTAATTTTTTCATATCTTCTATCTATCTATATTATATTAAAAGGAGAGTAGTGAAGCATGTGGTTAAACCAAGTGGCAAGCTAAAAAAAAGTCACTTAGCAATTTTAAGACAACATTAAAATTTTGAATTATAAATGGAAACATAATTAATGGAAGTAGTATAATGAATCTTATACTTAATCTAAATAGATCTTAGAATCTACATTTAAATTTATATTTATAAGTATCATATCTATATTGATTCACCCATAGATTTTTTTCTATATTTAGCTAGAATATGGAGGTAAAATTAATTAAAAATTCTAATCGAAAAAAATAAAAAAATATAGAAAGACGTAATTGAGATAAACTATGACTATTTATACATTGGAGTAAGTTAAAATATAAAATAAAATTAAAATTTACTTAAGTT